TTGCCCTCTTGCGAGGTGAAGGTGAGGTCTATTACCAATAAATCCTTCTAAAAGTGTACAGCATCTTAAGATGCTTAGAGGGAAGAAAGCTCTTCCCATAAATGAAGACTGTAATATATTTTTATGAAGCAAATGGTGGAATTTAGTCCACAAGTATTCAATGCATTGCCTACCGTTTCAGCACTGTTTTTCAATTCCCAGTTCAGTTTCGTAAGCAACGATTACATGTTTAACTTGAACTGAGACCCAAATGTCCAAGAAAGCACATAATAATTTTCAGTGAGGCCTGAAAGTACCAATTTATGTATCAACATTTTTATCTACAGGTTTTTCACTGATCTGCTAAATTCTCATTTAAAAAATCATTGCGAAATTTACTTTTCCTTCTCCATTTTTTTAAAATTAAAAATCACCTAATGTTCACTGATGTTGCTTCATTTCTTAAAAGTATTTTTTTAATGCTTCCTTTATGCATATGTATTACACCTCGCAAACAAAACACTGCAGACTTAAAAGATGACAAATGAGCAGCACAGAATATGGAAAAGTTAGCAGCTGCTGCTGGGAAGTTAGTAAAGAAGCCAAAATGTTTCAGACACCTTCACATGGAAAATGAAAGTAATGAGGATAGAACTGAAAAACAGCAACAGATCATGAATTTAAGGCAAAGGAATGGGAAACACCTACACTAACAAATGGGACGCTGACTCAATGCTTATGAGAGCTGCGCTAACAGCAAACTTCTGGTGAAATGCAATATGAAATGCTTTTATGTAAACTACCTCCCCAGTATACATGGATATGACTTTGTTAGGAAGTTTATAACTTCCTGAAAAACATTCACTTATAAAGCACATTACTATGCTGTAAAGAGTAGTAATTCTTATTAAAACCTGACATTCTGCTACATGTCACCAACACAAGCTCTGTATTTGCTCATATATTTACACGAATCCGATACATCAAACAGTAACTTCATGAAGTGCCAAGGAACGTCACAGACTGTCCTCAAAATATACTAAATAACCACGATATGCTGCTAAACTTGGAGAGCTCTCTATTTAAATCCAGAAAGGGTGTATGGTGGTATCTTCATCTAAGTTCATAGCCTTGCTGCCCAGCCGTGACAAGATGAAGTTTCTAAGGAAGATACGAAGTTTTCCTTACAAGCTCACAGCTTAACTAACCCTCTCAAAACCACATAAACTTAAAAGTGTATGCATATAGGAAAGCTGGGTGAACACCGGCCTTTCCCTTGGACCCCGCTGTAAGGCTTGGTGATACCATTTCCTGCACCCGCCTCAAGAGCACTTTCAAACAGAGCCTTTCATTCAATAGAACCTGCTTACCCAGTATCAGTCTATTATTTAGTGGTCTTGCTGATATTTCCGTGATAAAAGCATTTGCTGCAAAATTATTTTGCTTTTTAAATAATCAGCAAGCTTTATTTTAGTTGACAACAACGGAAGAAGTGATTTACCATTCTGTACTTGCGCTCAAAATACTTACTCAAAATGTTATTGTGATAAGATTAAAATAAATATGGTAATTATTCATTTATACTATAAGCAAGGACTTTGCACTGAATAACTAGTACTGTGTAACTCAGGAGCTAATTTTCATACCAACTGCATTCTGCACTCTATAGCTACGTATCTGGTAATGCATAGAATGTGAAAAATAAGCTGGGTTTAAATTTTCTAAGTAATACTTGTAGGTTCTGTTATAGCCACTTGTCACCGTAATATCACATCATCACTGCACAGATTTAATTATGAAATTCCTTATGTCAGTTTGAATTACCACCTTCTAGCAAAGAACAAACTTGTTTCTGTTGCCAGCTTCCTTGTTAGGTAGAGTAAATGTTTGATAAAAACTTCTGCTTCTAGCTTATATGGTATGTAAAAGTATCACCTGTGAAATCATCTCAAAATGTAACTGACTTTGCTTTTAGACCTGCACCAAAGTGTCTACTGAGGTCACAGAGAATCATGTGGACTTAGTGTAGACTTACAATTTTTAATGAGAGATGAACATTTTTTTCTATTCTGCTCATGAGGCAGTGTTCTCTGATACAGGATATTAAATTATTGCAGGAGTTTTCCAGATGATGCCACATAGGCAGTCTCTCACATAAACAGGGACATTTTCAAAATTTACTACCTATTGTTCATCAGATTCACAAAGCAGACTTCCTCTCATGCCTGTTATATTTTCTATGTCAGCATTTTGCTGCAGATAAATAAAGTCTAAAGCTTTTGGTCCACTGTAACAACATTTTAACACTTAACATTAAAACTTTAAGGAGGAAAGCAGCTGTGAAGCTTCACATACAGTGAAGCTACACCACTAGAACTGTCAGTGAATACGCACAGCTCCCAGTGTCTTGCAGACGTGCTCAACACTGTGATGTCTTCTGAAAGAGACTTTTGGCCTTTCTAAAGAACTGCTGAGTAGTCTTTGCAAAAGCTAGTATATTTTAAGGCAAAATAAAGGCAGCCTATATCTGGGCAGATAAGGTAAAAATACCCAAACTGTTTACTTAGGAGAGGTAAAAATCACCAGAGTGATTATGTAGGACTTGGTTTTTCCAGAAAAATGGGCAAAAATGTTATCTCTAATTGGACTTAACATAATTTTGAACTATCTGAAAATTTTAAACTGAACTAGTTATCATCCACAACTACTAGAGTGTTCGAAACACTCTGAAAAGGAGCACTTGAGAAAATGAAAAGCAGATCAGTGAAGCTGCTAGTAAAACAGAAAGGTCATCAATAAATGTTTTATCAATCATTCTTGTATTTCAAGCAGGACAGAACTCATAGCATTCCTCTATTTGGACAGACAATAGGTACCACCAGTCATGATAGACACTGTGTCACTTTAAAGAGGAATGAAACCAGTTTCAAAGGGAAGAACTACTACATAGAAGACTGCTATTTGCGAAGTTCACTGGAGGTCAAATCCCCATACTTCTCAAAAAAGAGGAAAACCAAGTCAGAGTAGTGGTAGATTTGTTGTAGGCAACATTTTCAGGAAGTTATTTTCCTTGCTCAGGTTTAGAAACTTGGGTTCTAATTCCACTCACACCGTTGGCATTCTGAGAACTAAGAAATGTCAAGCTATGCTTCAAAAATGGAGACTCCAAGAACTTCATAGGATACTGCAAATACTACAGTTTCATCTGAGAATATGTAAACCATTATAATAATAAATCATGAAAAAACCAAAGATCACTCCAAAGGAGATAAAAGCTAGAATTCACAGGTGTCCAATTTTAATAGGGCAAAAGCTTTGCTTCCTTGTTAAGATGATAGTAACCAACTTCTAAAATCAATCTGAGCAAAGAACTATACATAAGTGCATCCTGCGCTTTAAGTGATTAAAGTTAAAGGGCCATTTCAATTTTCTCAAATTAACAGAGCTGCATACCCTGAATTTTTCTTCTGCAAATGACTGAAAACACTTCCTAAAAGATAATGATATATGCAATGTTATATTCTTCTCTAAACATTTTTCATTTTAAAGAAATGAGACTTAGGAAGTCGGGCTTCCTAGTTTAGACGTTACTGTGTACTAGTCTGTCAATCTCCTCCAATTTTCAACCAATTTTGAAGAGGAAGAGATCTTGAGGACATAAACTTCTAAGAAGTTGTATAAATATGTCAGCCTAATTTAATCTCAAATTTATGGTCTACTTGATCTAACTGACAGAGTTTCCTGAGCTTAGAAATCAAATAAAGCATGAGGCAAACATTTATCTTTGCCTCTGTTGAGAGAAAACCCATTTAAAACTTGGCCTCCTACAAGCACCAGCTAGCTGGCTAATCAGAGCGAGTAAGTGAGCGGGTGCGTCAGCTCACAACTAGCCACAGTTTGGCTGTTACTTGCCAGTCAAACGCAAGGCACACGAAGAAGCTGAGGTGGAGGAAGGCAACAGCAGAAAAGGAGACACTACAAATCCACTGTGAACAGATCAATTCATTTACATTTTAACACTGTGCAATGTGTCCACACACTGAAAAAGAAAACCAAGATGAACGTAGATGCTGTATCTGCTTGTTTCATAAACTGACCAGTGTGGATTCTTAACATTTTTTAATGGACATCAACATCCAAGTAGAAGCAAACACTATCTATAGCAGTATGCATTTAAAACAAAGATAAGTTTGTAGAATTTTTTTCAGACATAACTTGAAAATTGCTAATTTCTTACTGGGATACTTCCTTCTGTATTCACTCATTTCCAATAATGCCACTGTCTTTTCTAAATCAGTTGATGTCTGCCTGTCTATAGGCTCCCAGGCACCATAGGTGCTTGTATTCCCCAGCATCTAGGAATGATATGTAATCTGAATCTATGTCTGTTGCGTGAGATGCCCCTGTTATTATGCCCTTTCAAAACTGAAAATATTCTTACATTCTGTGCTGGGAATGTCAGTATCAGCTAGTTACCTGGCAGCCTATATGAATTAAGAGAAAAGTAAAGTTTGTATCATATTTTTGCTTAGGGCAATCACACAACTCATTTGTATCCTCATTTATGACAGCAGCTGCTCAGAAGAGACCATTAGATGTGCATCCCAATAGGTTTTTTCCCCCGCTTATTTCAGAAGTCTGGAGACTCACTCCACAGCTGATTTTATGGTCACTGTTCTGAATAGCTATAAATACAGAGGCTTTCATAATCTAAAGCTAAATTCTTTAAATTGAGTGTGCTGTATCTTGAAAGAGAAAATTAAAAGTAATATATTCCATTTACTTTTTGTCATTACAAAATTCACACGTATCAACAAGATGTGGAATTTTTACTTCAGCGCTAACTTCACAAAGAGCATCAAAAGTTCTCTTTAGAACATTCTTTCTTGTTTTGCTGGAAGCACACCATCTAGCCCGGATGGTTTGCTCTTCATGGTTTTTCACCACAGGTCTACCGCCATACACCAAACAGTAGCTAAAACTGCAACAGCTCCCAGGAAGAGGAACAGAATTGCACTTACTTTAGCTTACTGATCCTGGCCTCTGTAGTTTCTGTAAGATTTTTTGTTTCTTCTTTCCACCGATTTGTTGCTTTTTGCTGAGCTACTAACAGACGTCTAAGTTCAGCAGTAGACTTCTGACGGGTGTCTTCCATTTCCTTAAGTCGAGCTTCATATCCATGTTCTTTCACAGCATGCTCATGCTCCATTGTGCTTATCTAGAAAATACAAATCTGGTACAATCAAGTCTCTCACTTTTTACTGTTCTTTTTTTTAAACACTTGAGTTAAATTTATAAACATTTGTTGAAAGCATGTAACATACAATAATTAAACTTGTAATTATATGCTCAAATAGATACATGTTCCCAAAGCCAATTTAAGCAAATAGTACAACTGACAATAAAGGATAATGAGCTGTGTATGCTTATTTTTGTAAATAATCTTTATCCTTCTCCCTTGTGTTTTCTCCACAGAAACACATTCTTTCTTTTTCATCTAGCTAAAATATGTTAGGAGTTTCTTAACTGCACCTAAAATCCTTTGTACATCAGAAGAAAATGAAAGCAAGCAATAAATCTTATCTGTGACTACAATGGAAGCCTGTCTGATTAAAAATGAGACAGACAAAGGTCTGGCATATTCTTTACAACCGCTAACTATCTGTTACAAGACTCTGATTCTTTGTTTTTAAACTACATTTGACCAAAGGGTTCTAGATTTGGAACAAGATTTCCTGTTTAATTTGACTGCTTCCTTTATTTTGCGGTGCCAAGTGGAAGCCAGATTTGAGGTGGTCCCCATTCATAACTTGTAAAACTGCTTACTGAAGTTTTCTTCATTGCTGCAGATTCTCAGATCCCTTTTCAATATCTTTATGCTCCTGGAGTTAAGAGCAGAGGGGAAAGTACCAGCTTTATACATTTAGAAATCACATCAAGGATCAAAGCTGTTACTCCCTGCGGAAGCCAAAGGTACCATGACTCTGCTGAGGTTACTATTAATTCATTATCCCACCTGCAGTCTGTTCAGGTGCATTTAATGGAACACGTTCAAAAAGAACATCCATCTTTCAGCAAATTATCTTGTTATCTATTCATATAGAAAAATCTTCTCTGTCCAGAAAATACAAAACCAACGTCTGACAACCACACTATTATTTATTAGTTACACGCTGCTCTGACAACATGGTGACTGCTCTGACAACATGGTGGACATAAAAGTAGAAGAACACCCTTCACTGGAAGTCATCCAGAGCTTCCTAACACATTACAGACACTAGATAAAAGAAGATCTGGAATTGGAATAAGTGGAATCACTTGAAGAAAAATATGTTAGTATTTGATCTATTCATCTTATAAAAAGCAAAGAACATTTGGAATCTTCTTATCAAGCAGCATTTAATACGTATTAAAATAAAATTTAATTAGCAGAGATTGAGTTACCCAATAGATTTCTGAGGACACACAATGCTACAACAAAATTACTTCTACGCAGAAACCAGGAAGCATCATTGAAACTTTCATCTTTGATTTAAACTTTCAATTATTTTCTCTTAAAACTGCTGCCTTATTAAGCAAATATCAGTCTTATGTGAAAGAAAAATAACATATAAACCATACCTTTATTTTAGCTTTTTGTTGAGCCTCTACAGCCAGTTTTCTCAAGCCCTCCATTTCTTTTTGCAGTTGTTCATTCTCCTAAAAGCCTTTGTTCACTGACAAAGGCACTCTTTTCTCTTTCTGAATCCAGAATGCTTTGCAATTTACAGATAACTTCCTGGCAACGAGATTTCTCTTCCTCAGAGCTGAAAGAGAAGAAAAATCTTGTTGGAACTCAAGAGTTGAACAAATACCATACCAGAGAAAAAAATATGTATTGGGACAGATCTTTGGTCTGACCCAGTACAGCTGTTCCCGTTTCTTCCTGAAAGTTTGTATCAGCTCAGCATGTTTAATGGGCTTGACAGCTACAACTATGCACAAGTCAGCAAAGAATGACAGAATTCATAAAACCCGTCTAATACTGTAGCAGTCTCAGTAAAATGACAATGGGAAACAAGATTTTCATTTTTATAACTTTTCCAATTCCCAACTAAGGACTGCTCCGGTGAAGTGACAGGATTTACAATCACCAGAGTACAGAAATGACTGAAACTTACAGAGAATCCTACACTTTTCATGCTGAAAATGACGACTTGGTCTAAAAATGTGTACCATATTGTACTTTTTACCATTGTACTACTGGAACTGCATTCTATAAGCGGCTGGCAGAAGTGTCGCAATCGCTAG